AATGTGACTTTACTTTGGAAAAGGATCTTTGCTGATGTAATTAAGTTAAGGAACTTGAAATGAGCTCATCCAGGACAATGCCGGTGGCCTTACATCCAATGACAGGTATCCCTACAAGAGAAAGAAAGAGGAAGACTTGAGACAAAAGAGAAAGGACTGACACACAAAAGGAAAGGCCCCATGAAGAAGGAAGCAGAGATTAGAGCGATGCTGCAATGCTGCTATGCCAAGGAATGCCTGGAGCTGCTGGAAGCTGGAAGAGCCAAGGAAGGATTCTTTCCCAGAGCCTCCATAGAGAATATAGCCCCTTGACCCTGATTTCAAATTCTAGCATCCAAAACTGAAAGGGAAAAAACCTCTGTTTAAGCCACTGAAAGTTTGTGGAAATTTGTTACAGTAGCCTCAGGAAACTCATGCACATGGCCAGAGGTACATTGTGGCAGGATTTCAGGACGCATTGCTGGGTACACCAGCAACCCCTCTATTCCCCCCTTCTATCAGGTGTGGATCAGAGCCATGCTGTCCTTCCTTTACAAGCAAAGCCAGGCTTAGCAAAACCCAGGCATAATCATGAGGTTCCTGAAAGGCGCATAGTCAAAATATGCTAATGGGAGGAAAAGCCCTATCCTCAGTAGGACTTGAGATGAGATTGACTCATTTTAAAAAGAGACCAGAGCCAGCGCAATGGCTCACAGCTACAATCCCAGCAACTCACAAGGGTGAGATGGGAGGATTCCTTGAGGCCAAGGGTTCAAGACCAGCCTGGACAACATAGCAAGGCCCCATCTCTTAAAAAAAAAATTACCCAGGCATGGTGGCACCTACCTGTAGTCCCAGTTAACCAGGAGGCTGAAATGGGAGGATCACTTGAGCCCAGGAGTTCGAAGCTACAGACAGCTGTGATCACACCATGGCACTCCAGCCTGGGCAACAGAGCCAGATCTCGACTCTTTAAAAAAAAAAAAAAAGACAAAAAACTCACTGCTTGCCTTGGTGAGGGGTCCTCACCTCTTAGGTAAACATATAAAGAAATCATCCCAGCTCTCTCTGGAGGGAATCTGACTGGTACCGCAGATTCACCCAGAGGACGAGAGCCAACCCTCACCTCTCAGTCTCCGGGCCCTGCGATGCCTGAAGCACTAAAGCTGGTAACTTGAGTTTGCAAGAGCTGAGAGACAGCAAGGGCAGAACTGCCTCTTGGGCAAAGGTCTGAAATGAGGAGCCCACAGTGAAGAGGAAATAGTTTGGGACAACTGGACTCAGTAAGGAAAAGAACCACCAGCAGAAAGGCAAACACCTTCTTCAGGTGCCTAATACTTTCCTTAGGTCTAAGACTTTTTCTTGTGTGACATAAAAGAACACTGAGCATGTGTTCCAGGTTTTGGATCTTGCTGCTGTACGACCCTTCCTAGATCTGGAAAAGAATCTCCCAGAATAGCACCATTGTCCACCTGATGAGTCTGGTGACAGCTGATGGGACGACATGGGGGAGGGGAACACCCACAGGGAAAGAACTGGCCTTAGGAGCCTCTATTCTCTAGGACTGGATAGGTGCTGCCTCCTGTGGGTGTTCCTATGCAAGAGAAGTCACCTTGGGCAATGACAGCAAGAAGACCCCACTGGAACCAAGCTAGGAGTAAAATCAAGGCACTGAGTGTTTTCAGCCAGGAAGGGCATGATTAGATTTGCTTTTTATAGAGATCACTCTAAGAGCAGTGTGGAAAATGGAGTGGCTGGGAAGAAACTGGTAACAGAAGGATCACGTTCCAGAATGTTTAAATAACAGTCCAAGAGAAAGATGAAGACCAGACGAAGGCGGAGGCAGTGTGGGCAGAGCACCGACTGGAGAGGGGGTTCTAACTTGGGACACTGAGCAGAGAGCTGTTCTGTTAAACCAAGATCTGGACAGAAGACAAGTGGCAGAATTCTCTGTCCCATCCCTGTTCCCAGCAACCTGGGATGCTGGGGCACCAGGGCTTCTTACAGCTGAAGAAAATCCTGGACATTTCCATGTTTGAGGCTTTCAGAATTTTAAATAAGAAGAAAAAAAAATCAAAAACAGGGCCAAATAAACAGTGGTATCTCTTAAATATTTGCTTTTTTAAAATTATGGCTTTTAAATCACATGCATAATGCACTGTATGTCTGTTTACTCTTCAAAGACAACCATAGAAGCCCCTCCACCCCCACTTTTTAAAGAATCAATTCATCAATTATACCATCAGGGCTCTAGTCCCATAAAGAGACACAATTTTCAGTCGTGTGATGAGAGTCTTCGCCCAGGCTTGGCAGTGCCTCCCTGAGACAGTGTGCATAACCCCAATTGGAGATGAAGTTAAAAATAGACATTGGAGGCTGGCCGTGAATACGAGGCCTGGGCATGTGGTCCTCTGTGATAGACACTGAGGCTAGCTGTGCATGCTCTGAGAGTCGAACCCTGAAAAAGTGCCCAAAGAAATAGTTAGTCTCAAGGGGCTGGCTGGGAAGAGCTAGAAGCCAGAGAGACCAGGCTGAGAGTAAAAGCTGGAGGCAAAGGGGAAGAGCCATGAAGTATTCCCAAGCCCACCAACTGTCAGCCACATGGGTAGGGAGACGCTCTGGGAGTTTAAGAAGATAGCCTGGAACAGACTCATTCCCAGGCCCTTTAGCCAATTGGGCAAGAAGAAAAGCACATTTTATAGGAACCCAGGGCTTCCAATCAGGTGGGAATTTGTCTCCTTCCCACAGCATTAGTTTGAGCCTTGAGTCTGCTATCGTGACCCTTCCTGATTAGGGTTCTAACCTATATTTTTTTATTCTTTTATTCTTCTGTCTTTAACCCTAGCACATATCCTATGGGCAATATTGAATAGTGAGAAAAGCACTGGCTTTGAGATCACACAGACCTAGCTTCAAATTCTTTGGCACAGTAGTACACTATTCTGAGCTTCAATTTCTCTACTTGTAAAATAGGAGTGATAGTACTAACCTCATAGGATTTATTGTGAAGATTAACAGATAATGGTTGTGAAGGTGCCTTGTGATCTCAAAGCACCACATGCACTGCCCCACAAAGTCAGATCATCCTTATTGCAATTGGTGTGGGGAAAACCTTCTGGCCGAGGCACCAGAACCTAGGGGTTGTGACCACAGAATTATGACTTGCAACCTAAGGTTTCACACAGCAACAGCCCTTGGGACTATCCACTTCTTATGACTCAGTGTTGTGGGACATCTTTTACCCCAATTTCTCTTTTTCTACTGCCCATAACCACCTGTCTCATTCCAACTGGCTCTTGCATGACCTAATTTGGATCTGTTCTTTACACAGGCCTTGTCCTAAGCTCAGGCCTTCCGTAGCCTTTCACAACCATACCAGTCCAACGCGGGCTTTGGCTTGGCAAAAGCCCCTGGTCTCTACTGGTTGGTGAAGCAGAGTGAGGAGGAGAAACGTGATTACACTGACCCTCCAATAATATGGCTCCCCCAGCCCCATGTGCAAGGCTTCCTTTTCGTTCCTCATTATTCTTCAAAGCCCAGCTAAGCATAACCTGCTCCAGGGAGTCTTCGTGATGCCTCAGATGCTCTGAATTCTGGGTCTCATCTGCCTCTTCTAATAGCCGTGAGCACTTTGGGCTTTATTTACATTATAGTGATGTGAATTCATATAGATATTTCTACAACTCCCATGAGCACTTTGATTTACCTGTGTATTCCTTACAGTGCCGGACACAGAGTGGATGCTCAAAAATATTTATTGAGTCTATAACAAATCCCTTCATTAAGGCTTTCTATTTACCAAAGGAACTTCACCCCGCTGCCTCCAACAATTTCAGTGCTTTACAGTAGAGGTCAGAAAGTTATGGCCCATCACCTGTTTTTGTAAATAAAGCTTGACTTGAACACAGCCATGCACATTCATTTATTCAGCATGCATCTCTGATTTTGTATGCTACAACGGCAGAGTTGAACAGTCATGATGGAGATCTTACATTATAGGTTGCAAAGCCAGAAATATTTACTCTCTGGCTCTTTGCAAAAATTTTGGTCAACTCAATGTTATAGCAAGGAAGTATAGGTTTCTTTATCTGCAATGCAGGGATAATAACAAACAGCACAGAGCTGTTGGGAAGATCATAAATGATAACAGATGTAAAGTTTTTCTGTACATGGCATACACTCTTCTTGCCACATGAGGTCAAGTTGAGGCTTGAAATCTCAAGTGATGATGGGGTAAGTGTGAAGATGGCCTATCTCACCGTAGCTGCTACCTGGCAAGCATACAGTGTTGCAAAACACATAACTCAAATATCTGCCAATAATGAACCAAACTCCAGCCTGCCCTCCAGAATAGACTGTCCCCATATGGCATTAATCAGATGGGGCTATGGTTGCTGGAGAGAATAAAATAAGCCCCTGAATGTTTCTGTTCCTTGTTTATGATAAATGCTTTTAGAAGTCACTTAATTAGTGCCATTGGCAGATTTGCATAACTGCTGGTTATGGCAGATAAGAATGATTTTTTACTTGATTTGACAGAGCTAACATGCAAACCCCAAAATATTTTCAATGAGCCTCCTAGCTAGTTATCAACATTAATCTTATACTTCCTAAGGTGGACCTCCTACTCTCAAGGAAGTGACATGTTTTAAGACTTGGGGGAAGTGTGGGTGATGGGATAAGCAGGCTTGGGCACAGCCCTGGGTTTATATGGAAGAAGGAGACATTTCATTGCACTGAGCTGGAAGAGGTATTCATCAAGAGGAGAGAGATGGGCTGGAATTTGAAGGCCGTGCTACTTCTGGCTGTGGTCTGCCCATGGCTGGGATGGTGGGAGGTGAGCTGTTCAGGAGCCATCTCACACCAAGTCTCTTCATTGTGAACATAATGTGCAGCTGTGTTTGTCCAGCTGAGAGGTTTCATCCATCTTAATGATATATAAAGCCTTCCCCCAGAAATGGGGAAGTTGTGCTCCAAGCTCCTGAGCAAGTGAACATGGGCCTGACCCCAGGATCCCATACCTTCTCAGATACCCTCTCCACCACCTCTTGCTGCAGGTGCACCTCACGTTACTGAGCATCAGACCCCTACACGGCCACCATCAAACTGGACCTGGAAAGGAGGCAGAGAGGGTCATTAATACTCTGATTGTGCAGAGTACAAATCTGAGGCCCAGAAAACTGCATATGGCCCCCACCCGTGATATACACAGATGGGAACCCTGATCCCAGCCCTGCAGTCTTCACCATGCTGCCCCTAGCAGAGATGGCCCCCTGGCTCCCTGTTGCTGACTGCAGAACTCTGGGCTGGCCCTTCTGATCCTACTGCCAGCCATGTGTCTAGAGCTCTGCTCAGACAAGACTCTCCATCTAAGATTTCCCACCAGCTGCCCGCAAAGCCTAATCCACGTTTCACTGTCACCCAAGGCTTTCCAGGGCTGGGACTAGGGTGAAGGGAGTGAGCCATCAGGGTACAAAACTCGAAGGAGGTGCTCACACTCAGGGTTGTGCAAATGCCATTGCTTTCTTGTGAAGACTGAATAAAATACTGTATATAAAGTGCTTAGGTGCTATAAAAGTATCTGTTATTGTTTTTAATAATAGTTGCACTCGTAGTAGCAATATTGAGAGGAGCTCTGTTTTTTCTTCTACGTGGAGATTAAATTAACTTTTTCGGCGAATAAACTAAGAGATTTGTAGTTATATGAATGTGAGCTATTGTTCCAGAAGAACTTGCATGCCTTTAGGGGCTCAAATATTCCTAATGAGGACTGTTAGTTTTGTCCCATTTCATGGCCCAAGTGACCCTGTGATGCCGCCCTGCCTTTCTTACATGCGAAGAAGTTTGGATTCCACACTGGCACTAACAGGAGTCACTGACGGATTTTAAGCTGGAAGTGATACAGCAAATCTGTGCTTATGAAGATCCCTCTGGCAATGTGATCTTGAACCAGGCAGGGCCAGAACCAAAAGCAAGGAGGCCAGTTGGAGGCAGGTGAACTGTCCTGGCAGGAAACAATGAGGCCTGAATTAGGGTAGTGGTAGTAGGGATGAGAAAGGGCCAGGCAAGAGAGTATGGATGAGGAAGTAAAATCTGTTCTTCACTCCTGGAAAAACAACTGTGAATCAGTGATACCATCTTTATCCCCAAAGGCAAACAGATCCTTCATTAGTGCTAGCAATTGAGAGCTGTGTGAGGTTTGGTACCCACTAGCTGCTAAACATGCATATAAAAGGAAGCACACCATATGCTATGATGAGTTAATGCCAATTGGCCCCACTCAGATATATACTGCTTTAATTTTAACACTTCATTTGAACAAAAGTCTACTTCTAATGAAGCTAAGGATTCCCGAAGAGTTTCTTCCTGCTGGCCAATTTGACTTGATTTCTTTCCTTGGTGATGAAATGCCTCTTTCGATAGGTATGACCAGGATTCAGATATCAATGAAATAAGACAAGCAACGTCATGGACATATGAAATTAGATGCCTTGGAAGATACTGAGTTCCTTGTCACTGAAGGCATGCAAGAAAAAGCTAGACAGCCACTTGATGGAGTTGTTGCAGTGAATATTCAAACATCAGAAGGTGAGTGGGATAGGGATGTTGGTCTTGATGACCTTTAAGAGCTTCCAAAACCATGAAATTCTAAGAGGTTGAATCAGAAGGGTAGTTCTCGGTTGATCAGGGAAACCCCATAATTACAGCAGATCAGAATGAGGATCTAAGATTCTTCAAGCAAATCCAGAAGTTATAACCACCTCAGGGAAAAAAATCTGGATAACCCATCAGCCAAGATGGCTCAAGGACATGAGAATAGAGATCATCAGAAGAAAAGCTCTGGCTGGGTGCAGTGGCTCAAGCCTGTAATCCCAGCACTTTGGGAGGCCGAAGTGGACGGATCCTGTGAGCACATGAGTTCAAGACAAACCTGGGCAACATGGAAAAACTCTGTCTCTACAAAAAATTAGCCAGGTGTGGTGGAATGCACCTGTAGTCCCAGTTACTAGGGTGGCCGATGGGGAGGATCACTTGAGCCCAGGAGGCTCAAGTTTGCAGTGAGCTGAGATCGTGCCACTGCACTCCAGCCTGGGTGACAGAGCAAAACCTTGTCTCAAAAGAAAAGAAGAAGAGCTTTGCTTTCAACATCATCTTGATGACCCTCGCACAAATGAGAAACTTTTTAGGGATAAGAACTAGGAAAACACTTATTTTCTCTTCTATACAACTGACATGTGTCTCTTTTCACTCTGGCCATCAGAAAGCTCAGAACTTAACTTGCACACGGAAATAACAATCCTGCAGATGCTTGGGTTCTGTTTGTCATCAGTGCCTCCCCTTCTCCCACCTGGCCACCCTTCTGGCCTCTTATTTTAATGTATACATTTTCTAGTCCTAATTTTGTTTTTAATACATTTTCTGGTCCTAATTTTGTTTTTAATCTATAGTTTACCTAATATGTATGTTTCCTATAAGCTACCTGAACTGATCTGGGAAATGAGGAGGAAAGAAACAAGAAAATAAATGATAAACCACCAACAAGGAAATGAATTATTGGCTTTCAGTGGTAAACTGTGAGGAAATTATCAGGGGCGCATTAGACTAAGGGCCATAGACTCGAGTAGTCAGCACTCCTCTGCCATGATGGCACTCCTCTCCACCTGTGGACTCAGTCTCCTCTTCCACAAAATAATGTCTGGAGCCCCAGCCTAGATCAAGCTTTGGCCCTCAAGATTTCCTTGCCTTTGGTTGTTCTGCTCAAGTTCCCAAGTACATCTCCAGATACTGCCCCTCTACCAAGTTCAGGCCTCTCCTGGACTTTAAGTTCTCCTACCTATAGATGACATCCTTGATTTTATATAAATATATATTTAAACAACATGCTTCTATATATTTATTGTGTTTCTTGTACTGTTCTGAATACTTCCTTGTAGTAATTCATGTAAACCTCATAATAATCTTAAGAGAGAGATACTATTATTATGCCCATTTTACAGATTAGAAAACTGAGGCCTTTAGAGGTTAAGTAAATCACTAGTAAGTGACAGAGCCAGATTCAAAATCTAGGCAATCAGGCTCTAGTTTGTGCTCTTAACTATATGTTCCCTCAAATCCAACCAAGACTTTGACTCAGCTCCCAGACCTTACTTGGATTATTCACTCTCCTGTATTATTGCCTTCCTGCCATCCAATTAAATAAAGATTTTCCTGAGTGCTACTTGGGGTCAAACTCTGTGCTGGGACAGGAACCAGGCATGAATCCACATTATCCCACCCATTATATTACGAGCTGTCTATTTGGGTACAGGAGTCAAACATGTACCCCATTCACTAGAATCCAACGGGAAATTAAATACATGCTGTGTGAAAGTTCAAAGGTCTATGCCAATGGGACTTGCCTTGACAGAGATGGAAATGCAAAGGGGTGGGAAGAGCATTGCAGGCAGGTGGAAAGATCTGAGCCAAGCCCAGAGGTATGACAGTGCATGGCATATTCAGGAAGGATATGAGGTTTTGAAAATGGTGACATGGCTACATAGCATCACAGGGTATGACTCCTGGCTTTCTCTTTGAACTGGTCTTATATCAACCTTTCCATTCAACTGTTAATAAATACATAGTTGTTGCGTGCCCCTTAGGAGTCAGGCACTGTTTTGAGTGCTAGGGATACAGCAGTCAACAAGCTACCCTCATTCATGGCCCTTCCAAGGTAATGGAAGGCTACTTGTAGTTCATCAAATAAAATAAAAATATGTCAGGTGGTGGTAAGTGCAATGAAGGACAACATACAGAGTAATGGGACAGAGACTGGGGGAAGGTTGCTTTTGTAGGTAGAGCTATCAGAGAAGGCTCTTTGATAAGGTAAGCTTTTAGCACATATCTGAATGGAATGGCGGGTGAGCTATGAAGATATCTGGTATGAAGTTGTCATAGGCAGAGAGAGAAAAGTATAGATGCCTGGAAAATGAACGCTGTTTCTCGCTTTTGAGGAATAGCAAATGAGGGTGGCGAAAAGGTGGTGAGGAAATGAGATCCAAGCTGCTGTAGGGCTCTGGGGCATGTGGGGTCCTGTTCACTGGAGTAAGAACTTTGGAGTGTGCTCTCAGTGCAGTAGGAAGCTGCTGGAACACTGTTGGTGATCCAAGCATTACAGCCACGTGAGTGTTTCTAAATCTCCTGGGAAACTGAAGTTCTGTCCTACTACAGGGCTTTTACCCATGCTGTGCCTCTGCCAGGCATGTCTTTCCCCCACTCTTTACTGGGCCATTGCCTACTCCTCTTAGGGAAGTGTCTTTACTTCCCTTTTATAGCACTTACCAAAAGGAACATGACACAATCATATGTGTAACTTTCATTTCTCACTGTTTCTTCCACTAGATAGTGAGCTCCATGAGGTGAGACAGTGTGGCTGTCCCCTTTATGCCTGTATCTTCAGTATCCAGTACAGGGTCTGATTTTTAAGAGGTGCTCAAAAAATATGTATTGAATGTACATGAAAATAAATGAAAGATAAAGATGAAAAGTCAAGGTGGAGCCTCTAACCCTGGGGTAGAGAAGCAACTCTGGCCTGCAGACCATAGAGTGGCCACATGGAAAGCATATTAAGGGTGCAGTTCAGGGTATGATTCTGCCCAGCCCCTAATAACCATGGGCAAGAGAAATGGAAAGGAATTGAGACTGGAGGCAGAAAGAATAGAAAGCAATATTTAAAGCTGTTTGAAAGACTTCCTTTCCTGTGTAAAATTTTCATATTAGGGAGAAATGCATGTGTTATAGAGGATTTCATGAATTTAGGGATTTACCAAGGTCTGAGTAATGCTGCAAAGTATGGTGATAACAGTCAACGATTGCTAGTAGTATGATTAAACAACAACAACAAGTGCCAAGTAGCAGAGATTATGCCATACAAGAGTCTGGAGATCTGAGTTTGTTCATCCATTTATTAATTTATTCAATCATTATTCATGCAACAAAATTGATTACTGACCGCATGGTGGGGGCCAGGTCCTATGACAGGCACTGGATTTAGGTTCTGTTTGTTACTTACTAAGTATGCAAACTTGGGCAACGCATTTACCATTGCTGTATAAGGAGGAAAAGAATCTTCATGTATAAGGGAGTGGTCTTCCCCATTAAAGGAAAAGACAAAGCCCTCCATACTTTGTTCAGATATCTGGGTTTCCAGATGGAGAGGTGTGATAGAGTAAAAGGCCTAAATTCTGTCTCCTTGAGTTTCCTTTTCCTCATAGAGTTCCCACTTGGATTCCTCTGGCACACCCAAAGAGTCTGGAATGGTTTCTATAATCTGCTTCATGGCCTAGCAAAATCTCTACTTGTTCCCTAGGGCCCACATTAAATGTCAGAGCTCTTGAAACCTCCATTGACTCCGTACTACCTTAGCAAAATAAATCCCTCCCATCTGCCCCACTTTGAACACTCAGCTCATCAAGTTGTTGTGCAGCTGACTTCTCTGTGTGACTGGAAGGTGGGTTCTTCTGAGAAGCATGTTTTCTTCCCTCTGTCTCCCCAGTCTTTGGCTGAGTGTCTGGCCCAGAATATATTCTCTGTAGTTAAATGGATAAAAAGTCACCAGGCCAGCAGAATAGCTGACAAGTGACACTGTGGTGGAAGGAAGTCTGAACAGACTTACTGTGACTCAGAAAAAGACACCTGTCAACTAAGCTAGCTAAGAATATCAGTAACTACTCACTGAGGGACACTGAGAGACCAGGGGGCCTTGGGGGTGGGAGGTAGGGGTTTGAGTCAATGGAACTTGCTTGTAGAAGACAGAAGGGTGGTCAATTATTTATTTTCTTTAATAAAATTATATTACACCCCATATCTTTGTAAGTTAGAGGTAGATGATGGCTTACTGAACTGTCTATGCAGAGATGTGCCCAGGTCTTCAGATGGAAGTTTGAGCCTCAAATGACACACCCTTGAGGACTTTTGTGCCTTGGGCATCTCTAGCTCAGGGATGCTAATACTTTTTCTAATAGAATGTTAATAATTAAGGAACAAAGACATCCATCCTAAGTAGTGTGGTTGTTCCAGATATATCAAACTTATGTATCTTGCTGTATTGCTTTTGCTTTTGTTTGTTTGTTTGTTTTTAAATAAGCCTTTGTTTGGTGAGTATGTGCTGTGTTGGTGCAGGCATTGTGCTAAACGTTTTGCATGTATTGTATAATTTAAAACAAATGTAGCAAAATGGGGGGAGCTGTTTTTATGTTCCCCCTTG